GTTAAAGTGTACATCAGATCTTGTCGCTCACTCATTTAAAATCCTTAAATGTCCACTTTGAGAATCAATTACCGTGGCCTGCTAGGCTCTCGCGACATGGTCTGGCCCCTGCCCAGCACTGCATTTCACTCTGGTCCCATCCCTTCCCTTGCTCACTATGCTCCAGCCACACTGGTCTCCTTTCAGTTTTTAGAACACTCCACACTTTCCCGCCTTCAATGGCAAGGTCTTCATTCTCTTGCTATTTCCCCTTCCAGAAATGCTCTTCTACAAGCTGCACATCTATGGTTCCATCTCACGCTTCAGACTCCAGCTCAAAAATCAAACCTTAGAGAAACCTTTCATTGATCAGCCTTTCTAAAGTAACCTCTGCCTAGTTACAGTCTGTCCCATCATCCTATTTATTTTCTTCTTAGTATTTATAACAACCTGATATTATCTTGTTTACTTATATGTTTCCTTGTATGTTATTTTTCTCCTTCTCCAATCTCCATCTAGAATGTAAGCTCCTTAAGGGCAAGACTCATGTATGTCTTTCACCACTGTGTCCAGTATTCAACACTTTACCTGAAACATAATTAGCTTCTATATGTGCTTAATGGATGGGTGGATGAATAGAAAAATTAATAGACCCTAGAAATCATCTTACTCAAGTTGCTGTAAGCTGAGTACTCTCTCAACATCCTCTTTCCACAGTGGATCTAGCCCAGGAGTCTATAAGGGAGAGAACTCTCCCAAAGATACAGAGATGCCCTCGCCTTCCTACAGAAATGGGCACACTTTCTATTGCCTTCATCATAAAGTCCAAATTCTCTCCAGCCTGCGTGTACAACTTCATCTTCCACCACTGCCTTCCCCCGTGCTAAGTTCACGGCACACTCAACTTCATACCATTACGTGAAAATACCAGTCATGCTCATGACCTTGCCTCTCTTTGGAATGCCTCTCTATCCCCCTCCTGCTAAACATCACTCAGCTTCCCTCTATAAAGCTTTGTCTGATAGCCAAAGAGGTTATACTCTGTCCTATCACAGGCCTTCATGCATCCCTCCACCACCACATTTATTCTAATATATGATAATTCTATGACTAATTTTCCCCATTTTACTGTTAATACTTTGAGTAAAAGGGTTATGTCTTATGTCTCTGTCTATCCCACTAGTGCCTAGCATGGTGCCTTAGAGAGAGATACAGAAAAAAAATGTTGACTATTATATATGCATATTAAGAAATAATTTTTTAAGAGAATTTTTCATTATTGTATTGCTCAATGGGGTGAAAAGAACTGGAACATATTAATGGTTGTTATTCTGTCTACTATGTGACCACCATTAGTGAACCAGTGGGAGAGGCAATTTTTAATTTATGAAATGGAAATTTATTTCAATTAGTTATAATGTGGTTAAGAAATCACATTGGAAAATATTTATACTATGTCTGAAATAGACACACTAATACACACATACTCAACCTTTTCCCTTTTCTCTCTCAGCTTGGATTTTTTTTAACTGAGCATAAGCACTGACAGCACTTCTTGGAACTGTTTAATGTATATTTAATGTTCACTTTTATGGTAACCCTACATTAAATCCCATTGGCCAAAAGCAAGTTATAGCTCTTCTGGTTGCTGGCCAAAGGCTGGTGGATCAGCACCATGGACAGAGAGAAATGGTGCCAAAGGTCAATCTAAGGCTACTTGTAAAATAACAGCTGTGACAGCAGATGTACTACCAACGAGAGACTGGTGTGAATGTTCCCCTGGGGATCATGGGAAGAGCGTGACATCAGGGTTGGGGCCAACTCAGAGGATGGGGGTCTTAAGAAAACAACCACTCCTCCAAGATGTCTCTGAGTAGCATGATCTGCTTCATTTATTGACCCATATCGATTTCAACAATTTTTCAACCATTTGCTCTTCTGTTCCCAAGGTGCCAACATTTCCAAGCTGAAGTAAACATAAATACCTAACTAGAAACTATGAAGGACATTTGTTCTTTTTACCTGTCCAGCATCTATGACCCTTTTTTTCCTTTGCAAACCACCTTTCAAACAAATAAGCTGTTCTTAAAAGATGACACTAAGGAATTGTTCATGCTATGGGGAAGCGTTTGTGATTATATTGAAGTTATGTTTAAGATGGGAGCCCCTGTCTTTTAGCAGTACATTCTGACAGCTACAAATGAAATAATATGATGTCTGGGATTTGTTTCAAAATAATCCAGGATCAGGGGAGTAGATAGAGATAAAGGGAAGACAAGTTTGGCCATGAACTGCTAATTGTTAAAGCTGGAGCATGAGAACACAAGAGTTAATTCTCTCTACTCTTTTATATGTTTGAAATTTTCCATTATACATATACATGTGTGTGCATGTAACACTGAGAGGCCACAAAAAAATAAAAATAACAATGATTCCTGAAGAATGTATAATCCTGCACCTAAGAGATAATGCAGAGCAAGCTTTAATACCCTCTACTCCAAGAGGAGCTTTAAGGAGACTAAGCTATAACTGTCCCCTGCAGACTTGAGATTTCTGTCTCGCTCAAGATCATATGATGGACTAGGGAGTTCAGACATCTAGGGATGTTCACTTTATTCTGGAGCAAGATGTCTCAGGAGAGTAGTTTCTAAGAAATGAAACCTTTCATGCACCTCCCCTGACAAGAGGCAGCTGGGGGCAGCTTGCAGTTGCAGGGGCTGAGGCTGAGGCTGAGTGTAGGGAATGGGTCCCTGGTTGTGATGATGGGCCCACGGCCAACACCTAAAGTCTGGGGTCAGAACTAAAACAACAACAAAGCATTCTTTAAACATAAGATGGGCTAGATAAGTAGAGGGAGTCGAGATATGATGCCAAGTACATAGGGAGAGGAGCTAAAACATGAAGAGGGTGGACAGGTACAAAAGGAAGACATACCTAAATATTTCCTGGATTGGCGGAGGGGGTTGGGGGGCTTTTCATGTAGTACCCACATCAGAAGCAAATAAGGAGCCAACACAGACGCGGTGGATAAAATAAGAAAGTGAATGTAAATTTGCTTCAAAATCTGTGGAACTGTGCACATATGGCAAGAATTACTCAGAGCTTATGGACAGCAGATGAGGTTGAGTGCCTACTATGTGCAAGGCATTGCTCTAAGCACCTGGCACACAACAGTTAAGTAAATAAATAAAGTGCTGCTTCATTGAGCTAACAGAGAGATAGATAAATGTATTTGCCAATTATTTAAAAGTGTGATAATTTCACCTGGCTTTTTCCTTTAGGGAGAAAAGATGGCCTCCAGCTCACTGCAATCCCCACTATTCCCCATTCCCTACTGTCTTTTTTTTAAAAATAAATTTATTTATTTATTTTTGTCTGCATTGGGTCTTTGTTGCTGCGCGAGGGCTTTCTCTAGTTGTGGCGAGGGGGGGGCTACTCTTCGTTGTGGTGCGTGGGCTTCTCACTGCCTCTAGAGCTCAGGCTCAGTAATAGTGGTTCACGGGCTTAGTTGCTCCGTGGCATGTGGGATCTTCCCGGACCAGGGCTCGAACCCGTGTCCCCTGCATTGGCAGGTGGATTCTTAACCCCTGCACCACCAGGGAAGCCCTCCCTACTGTCTTATACTCTACTTCACTCAATTATGTTGTTTGCCTGAGCCCTGTAGCCTTTCGAGTTTGTGACCCCTGCCCGTCCCTGAGGTGCTTGTGACACTTGCCTCTCCTAAAAACACCAAATGGCTCAAGGAGCATATAAAAGACCCTGTTCTTAGCCGACTCAGAACCGTGGGTTGCCACTTAGTCTAAAGTAACCTTGGGCAGATACATCACCTCACTGAGCTGTCGATGTCCTTAACTCTAAAACGGATGTAATCTTACCTGTTTTATAGGATTTCTGTGAGGATTAGACCTTGCCTAGTCAGCTCTTACTCCTCCTTTGGATCTCATCCCTAGCTTTACCTCTTCAAAGAAACTTTCCCAGACCTCCTAAGTCAACTCCCTCTAATATACACAGTTTCTAAGCATCATGTACTCGTCAGCAGTACCTGCCGTAGTTACAACTGTACATTAGTTTGTAGATTATTTGATTAACACGTGCCTCTCTCACCAGACTGAAAGCTCAAAAGTGGCAAAGGATGCTGTGTTTTTTGTTTGTTTTGTTTTTCTCACCACCTATCACCATGTCTAGCAAAAAAAAAAAAAAGTGACCAAAGAAATGAAATAAAGTAAGCTTGTAGACAGCTGTGTAAAGACAACCTCTGGCACGTACTAGCTGCCCAATAGATTCTCACCTAATGTCTCTTGGCTGCTAGAATTTGCATGTCAAGTTTTAACTAAGACTTTCTCTAAGAAAAAAAAGTCACTAAGTTTTATTTTTTAATAGTCTATCTACCCGCCAACCCCAGAACTGGGATTTTTGCTTTGCCCACTGATATAAGCCAAATGCCTAAAACTTTCTGGCACCTAATCAGTAAAGGGATGGAGGGAAGAAGGGAGGGATGGGCGGGCACAGTTCTGGGGTTTCACAGAAGTTGAGAGACTGGACAGCTCCTCCTGCCACCACCAGGAGGAAGCTGGGGCCTGGTCGGAGGAACTCTGAGCCAGAGATGACATCCTCTCCCAACAGTTTTAGCTACACCGACTTCCCCGGTGCCCGGGGCAGTAAGAGCCCCCGAGGCGAAGAGCAGCCCCCGCTGCTCCGCAGGCAACGGACAGGGGCATTCATGGATGGGGACATTCACACATGCGAACATTCACATATGCTCCCCCAGAGGAGGGCGGGGGGCGGCACCGTGTCCCTCCGCGAGGGCCGCTGTCCCGCCGAGGGTCGCCGCCTATAGCAGCCCTTCCAGCACGCGACCGTTCGCAGCGCGTGACAGAAACCTCCGCCAGGCAAACGAGTCCTCACACCCCGCGTCAGAAAGGACTTCGCGCCACCTCCTCATTAGCGCTCCTCAACCTCACAGTCTCTCCCCGCCTCCCAGATTCTCCGGCTGACGGAGAACGCCCACTCCCCTTTCTCACACTGTTCCACAGTCTCTTGCAAAGTGCCTGCAGTGTGTCCGTCCGCCCCGGGGAAGAGCCGCCGCAACCCTTCTCATTAAAGTGTCTCAGCAGCGCGTCGGTGCGCTGCGCGCTCTCGCGAGAGTCCACCGCGCCGCCCCCTCCCCCCAGCCCCTCGCCGACGAGGAAGCCTCTGCTGAGCCCCGCGGCGCGCGGGCGCGAGTGGCGCATGCGTGGCTGCTGCTCCCAGCGCCCCCCGCGCAGTCCGGGAACAGAGCAGACGAGGCTGCGAGCTAGGATCCTGCAGCCGCCACCCTCCGAATCGTTGTTTGGTCCCCGCCGCTTCTCTCCCCTTAGGGACAGGACCTATTCGCGGCTTTCCTCAGCGTGTGGAGGTTTCCTGAGGACGGCCCGGGCCACCCTGGCCCAGAAGAGCCGGGCGCTGGCCTCGGATAACGTCGGCCCCCACCAGCAACCCGCAGCGGCCTGGGCGCGCTGCCGTGCCCCGAGCCTCGAACCCGGGGCCGGGCGGGGCCTACGCATCCGGCCCCACCCACTCGGGGCCCTCCCCTCCCCCGGGCCCTTACCCGGGTGTCTGACACACCCCCTCCCGGCCCGGCTGTCCGCCCCCGCTCTCCTGTCCGCGGTCCCCTTGATTTTCTCCCAGTCCTGTAGCATTGCTCTTTCCGACATTGCACTAAAAGATGCACCCTGGAAAACCACAACGCGGGGACACATCTTGTTGGGAGAAGAGGCTGAGTTCTTGGACCTTAGGGTACATGTTCACCTTTTCAAGGGCCTAGGGTAGATTTGATTAATCAGCCTGGGGTACCCTGTTCCTGCTGACACTGCCGTTTTCACTTCCCTGCCTTCCCACACTTCCAAAACCATTAGCAGGGAGCTCTCGAAGGTTTGGTTTCTTCGAGTCTCCTTTGAGCTAGACGTGAGGTTGACCCCCGGGTTAGAGCATGGCTGCATCCCTGGACCCTCAGATCGACGCGCCCCTGGAGGTTGAGGGATGCCTAATAATGAAGGTGGAAAAGGAGCCCGAGTGGGCATCGCAGCGCATTCTGGAAGGATCGGACAGCTCTGAGTCCGAGACTTTTCGCAAGTGCTTCAGGCAATTCTGTTATGAGGATGTGACCGGACCCCATGAAGCTTTCAGTAAACTCTGGGAACTTTGCTGCCGGTGGCTGAAGCCAGAAATGCGTTCCAAGGAACAGATCCTGGAGCTGCTGGTGATTGAGCAGTTTCTCACCATTTTACCCGAGAAGATTCAGGCGTGGGCACAGAAGCAGTGTCCGGAAAGTGGAGAGGAGGCGGTGGCCCTGGTAATACATTTGGAGAAAGAGACTGGAAGACTAAGACAGCAGGTGAGAGAGGGTTTTCCAAATTTTTGTATTTAGCAAGAAGGGGGTGGAAAGGAAGATGGGCAAGGGATGCATTGCAGGAAATGCAAATTATGGAAGGATAAATGGTAATAATGAAAGACCTTTAAAGGGAATCTACTTAAAAGGGATCAGAATTTCATATTAAATAGAAAAAAAGCTTTGGTTGAACTGTTATCTTGCAAATGACACTAAACATTATGCGTCTAAGTATTTGTTTTAAATCTTTGCGTAATGTTTCCCCAAAAAATTATATAAGAGAACAGTACATTATGCTTCACAGGATTTTACTTTTGTAGCTTGATCCTAAAGAGGGCTATTTTGCCCTGCCCCCCACCCAAAAAGAAAAGGAAAGAAAGGACTTTATCAGTTACCCCAGGGCCTCTTGTAATCCTTTAATATTCCAATCCGTGTCTTCTGAAGTGCCCTCAATGTCATCATCCTTGTCACTCTTCTCCATTTGAATTGCTGATCCTTATTTGTCAGTGGCTTTGCATGCTCTTCTAATTGTTTTTCAACAGCCCTTTCAGTAACCTCATGAAATCCTGCAAGATTTGCACTTTCACCTTGCACAGGATTTGTGTAAAGATCTGACTATTAGCAAGTTGCTGTGTTGGTCAGAAATAGACACTAGATGTCGAGATTAATTTTCTAAGTTTTCAGTGCACTAGTGAATTAATTAGTGTTCTGAGAACTTTCATTTCTCTGTGAACCTAATAGATATGAGGACTCAAATAATGTCTAGTCTGATAACAGGGAGGCTCTGTATTTCACTCCTAAGAGATTTTGCCCCTCTGTATACTAATAAAGAGCACTCTCCTATTCCCTTATGCCCAGACTTCTGGACAATACTATTATCCTGATGCCCTCAGAGGTCCCATAGGGAATGGGGTGAAATTTTCATTCCTTCTCACATCTTCTATCCTTCTTTGATATCTTTCTTGGGGGAATTTGGCCCTGATCTAGCCCTCTTTAACTCCCTTTTCCCACTATGGCACTGACTTTATTTCCCAGGTTAGCAGTCCTGTGTACTCAGAGAAGCAAGCCCCACTTGGAGCAGCATGGGAGGTGGCAGACTTTCAGCCACAGCAGGTGGAGACCCAACCCAGAGTGATGTCTCTGGAGGGAGCTGAAAGCCTCCACTCAGGACACCAGGAGCAGCTGAACCAAAAGAGAGAGCTTCGGCCCTTACCCAAGAATGGTAAGAACTCAGAGCATGCCCAGTGCAGAGACCATGGCAGATTTGTTTTGTAGCCCTAACACTGTGACTTGTTCAGCGTAGCGTCCCCTCAATACATATTTGAAAGTAAATTGAATATTGGGGAGAAAGACTTCATTAGCTTCAAGACTTGGGAATATGTGTGACATAAGTAAAAGAGATCTTAAAGATGGAATCTGAGAAAACATAGATTGCCCAGACTGGCCTTAAGGTCTCATAGTGTTATTTAAGAATCTCCATCCTGCAATCAGCTTGTGGTTTTTAGTCCTGCTGCATGTGTAAGTGTGTGTGTTCTTGGCTGACTATATGCAACTTGGAAAAACTGGAAGAGGAAATGAGATTTTTTTTCAAAAAGTGACTGACAGTAAGGCATCACAGAAGTGGCTTATGAGAGGGATAAACAATAAGACTTCATAGAGAAGAGACAACTGCTGTTCGTATCTGCCCTAGATGTTAATGAATCAAGTCAAATACAAGGAAATGAAGACCCTGCCCTTCCCAGTCCACAGTGATCTTTCCATCCTCTGCAGCATGGTGTCAGGCTTAAAGAGAAGAGTGGAAAGATCACTGAACATACGCTAGAAAGACATGGGTTTATATCCTTTCTCTGCCCCCTCCCTGTGTTATCTCGGGCAAGTAATATTAATTAATCTCTGTGTATTAATGCATAGAGATTAAGAAATTAGGCTTTAGAGGTAGACAGTATGCGTTCAAAACCTACCTCTGTCATTCTTTATCTGTGTGGTCTTGGTCAAGTTACTAAACTTCTCAAACTTTCCATTCTGTCATCTGTAAAAGGAAAATACTAAGGTTGTTAGCGTAGATTAAAGGAGGCATCGTAAAAAGGGTCAGGGCATAATAGTGCTCAGTAAATGTTAGTTTCCTTTCTCCCATAATGGCATGATTATTTTTAAACTTCAAATCTGTCTGACTTACAGAACCCCTCATCAAGAGGCAAGATTCACCACTTCGGACCCCACCTCCTTATCCCTTCTGAAATTCATATTATGATAGAATGCATTGCAAATATTAATGGTTTCTGGATTTTTCATTGTTTGTTCATCAGCATCAAAGTTCCCTTGTTCACATGGATTATATGCTGTCAGTTACTTTACCTGATAAATTCATGGTGTTTCTGGATTTTGCCATCTCAGGTGATAAGGAATTCCTAAAGTAAGGTGGTTTTTTCTGTTGAGGTCCTTACTGGGGGTAAGGAGGACAGAAAATTTGAGGGATAGATATCTCAGAAAGGTGAATTCCTTCTAAAAGAAGAGATAGGATTTCAGCCATGTGTGCCTAAGGGAATAATGTACTTCTAAGGAAGTGATTCAGTTTGATTCCATAGAAAGTGGTAGATCAAGCTTTTGAGTTCTCGGTCACAGTAATATTTATTCTTAAAGTTTTCCTAGATAGTGAATTCTAGAGGAGAAGTTAGACCACAGACTGCCTTATACTATATAAGCTTATATATCTTCCTTCCACCTTTCTGGGGGTATATTTCCCTGTAGTGTTCAGTACTATGTATCTGTATACGCTAACATTTTTTAGGACAGTATTCACTCATAGGGAATTAATTTGTGCTAGAGATAGCGAACTGGTAACTCACGTGCCAAATCAGATTGTTTTGTTTCACCTACAAGGAGTTTTTGGTTTGGGGGTTTTGTTCGTTTGTTTTTAGTTCTCAAGGTTTAAGACTTGAGATTGTACATAAAAGTCCCACTTTCTGGCTTCTCTTGAAAAAGTTAGAAGCTCTGGGGCTTCCCTGGTGGTTCAGTGGTTAAGAATCTGCCTGCCAATGCAGGGCACATGGGTTCTAGCCCTGGCCCAGGAAGATCCCACATGCCGCGGAGCAACTAAGCCCGTGTGCCACAACTACTGAGCCTGCGTTCTAGAGCCCGAGAGCCACAACTACTGAGCCCACGTACCACAACTACTGAAGTCTGCATGCCTAGAGCCCGTGCTCCACAAGAGAAGCCACCACAGTGAAGAAGCCCACGGACTGCAAAGAAGAGTAGCCCCCGCTCACTGCACCTGGCGAAAGCCCACTCACAGCAATGAAGACCCAACACAGCCAAAGATAAAATAAATAAAATTAAAAAAAAAAAGTTAGAAGCTCTGTGCCAGGGCAATAATCTCACAATGAAGCATAAGCTGGAGCTGAACACTGGGTGTACCCTTTCAGTGGGACATGTGCTCTCCAGTTCCCCACAGTCCTTACCTCTCCCCTTTCATGATGTCCTTTAGCTGCTTACTCCCTAAAAGCATTTGTGTTTGTGAGCCCTGCTTTAGGGTACCGTGGTTTGGGGCATTGTTCTGAATTCATTGAGAAAATGACCAATTTATATTTGTCGGTTTTTTTATACATGCTCATTTCATAAAAGGAGAATGAGCATGAATAAGATGGCAGAGCCAACAACACTAATTGTTTCTTTCTCTTCTTACAGCTCGGCCTTCTCCCTGGGTTCCTGCTCCTGCTGATGAATGGAACACCATAGATCAGGAAGTAACAGCCACACGAGTTCCTGTTGGGTCCC